AGATACAACTACAAAAAAAAAAGCATTTAAGTAAATAATTTAGTAATTTTTTTTAACTAAGTACATTAAGTATCTTGTATGTGCATAGTTGAGTGCAAAAAAAAAAAAAAAAATTTAAGATCTAGTGTCCTGTTGTTCTATAGGGTAAAAAAAAAGCTATCTTTTCTTCTTTTCATGAATTTAACTTTAATCCTATCTAAATTGCTTGAAAACATGCAACGTTTTAACGTCATTAGTAGAAAATGACAAGCACTTTTCACACAATGGAAAAAGAACGGATATCGCGAAATAAAGCGTCATCGAACGAAACTAGCGGATGTATACACACTTTCAGAATTTCGTACAAAGATGACAAAACAAAAATGTGACGTCATCACAAAAAAATTACCATCAGACAGTAACCACATAACGTCAACAATGTATGTCATAAAAAGAAATATCATTGTTTCTTTAGTCTAATGTTTAGCTTAAAAATTGAATAAATTAACTCTCCTAAGTACTCTATGAACAAGAGAGTTGAGCTTCAATTTAAATATTATTTTCTTCGTAGGCTTTATTCTTTAAAAATGGACTAATTCCAATGTCTTCGTGAAAATAATTTAATTACAATACATCTTATGTTAGGTATAAACAGAATTTAATAAAATAAAAAGGTGTAACGTAAGTTAGAGTTAACAGAGAAAATAACGTTAAATTTTTATGATTTAATTTAATTGAAATATATGACACAAGTTTCGAGGTAAGATAGTGAAGCTCTACGCAATATTTAAATGTGTTATAAATTTACGCAATAATTTAAGTCGAAAATCTAAGAAAGAAACAAATTTCAACTATTCACATAAATAACACCAACAATTAAATGTCATATGAACCCCAGAAAACTTGATTTACGAGAATAAATTAGAATGCTTTTTATTTCCGGATACTCACGCGAAATATCTGTTGCGTGCTATTCCTTCAATTACACGCAAGTCCTAGTTAAAAACAAAAAAAAAAGTAAAATAAATTGACAGATATTACATTTTTGTCTTAAAAATTAAAAAAATAACAGAATGACGATATTTTGAGAATTGCTGTAAATCATACCTTTGGATTCAAGAAATAATTTCTGAGGAAATATTAACAGCGCTTTCGTTTTTAATTTGTAATTGACAAGCATTATTACGTGATTAAAAAATAGAGCAAATATCTATTTACAAATAATATTTCTTGATAGACAGGAAGTATAGATCCTGATTCAGGATGTTTTGAATATAGATATGCAATCGCCGATTCATCCGCCAAGTTAGAAAGGGAAATATTAATAAAATACAGGTGGTTTTAAAATAAAATTTAATCACAATTTAACTTTTTACCCATCAAAATACTTAATATAGAATGGGAATTAATCGAGCACTTAACTTGTAGACAGAGAATTTATTGAAAATATAATTTTTTTAATCAATACTTTTAAAATTGTTTGCACAAAAACATATATTTATTAACGATATCAAAATTACCTAACAACACACAGTTTGAGTTAAAAATAAATAGCTGTTACACAGGGATGAAAATAAATAAATAAAATCGAACGTGTTTATTTTAAAAGGGTGATTTTATTGCTTAAACCAAATAATATAAGTGCACAAATAGATTAATTAATATCAGACGGTTTTTAAACTTAAAATAAATGGGAATTCTAACATTAAAATGGTAGCCTAAATTCTACATTCAGTAAAATTTTTTTTAATCGTTTTCTTCAGTCAGAGTTCGTTTCCGAACATTCAAGATACTAACCAGATTCAATTCGCTTTGAAACCAACAAATAATAAGCATTTATAATAGTTTTATAATTTTCTGCTTATGAAGTTGCATTTAAATGAAAGCAAAATTGAAAAACTTTTACGAAATTTCTGTAGTAAGTAATCAGTTGACGAAGTTTCACAATTTAGATGTCACATGGTTTCATTTCCCACGCGGAACTTCGACGCTTTAATTAATGCTTAAAATACATCGAATTCCACTTACACATTTCCTGATATCACCCAAAAGGAGAAAAAAAAATAGACAATGAAATGAGGAAAGAACAAAAATGAAAAACAGAGCATAAAGAGGCTGAAATAAGAAAAGCCAATAAAGAAAGTGGAACAACGACATGGAAGAGTCAAAAGATTCCTTTTGATAT